TTCCAAGTGAATAAAAATAAAGATCACTGGAGTCAAGGAAGTTTAGAATACAGCAGTTGTGAGACTTTGGGCAAGTCACTGCCTCTTTGAGTCTCAATTTCCTCATTTGTAAACTGTGGGTTAAATAAATACAATAGTATGTAAGTATTGTACCTAAAACAATGTGTGGCACGTAGGAGGTACTAGATAAATCATGGTGATAATGATGATGATGATGATGATAATGATGACAATGATTAGAAAAATGTTACAGTTGTCACGAATGCTGTCACGAATGCTAGCAGTAGTGGTTGCTAAAAAGTAAAGCCAAAGTCTTCAATATGACAGCATTAGGAGGTCGAGCCTTTGGGAGGAAATTAGGTCATGAGAGTGGAGACCTTGTGAATGGGATTAGTGTTCTTATAAAAGGGACCCAGAGAGCTCTCCTGGCCGTGGGAGAGAGCCATGTGAGGATACAAAGAGAAGACAGCAATCTACAGCCCAGAAGAGAGCCCTCATCTGAACTCAGTCTTAATGGACCTGATCTCTGACTTCCAGCCTCCAGAGTTGTGAGAAATAAATTTGTTGTTTATAACCTACCAGCCTAGGGTATTTTTGTTATAGTGGCTGAGCTCATTAAGATACTACTTTCTTAATATCCTTTCTTCTCATTCTAATAACTTCCAATCAGAGACTGAATCTGACAATGCCAAAGCCCACAGACGATGACCTCATTAATATCACAGCAGGCTGGGAGGTTCACAATGCTCTGACCAAGAGACAGAAGTATCTGCTTCTATGGATAAAACAGTCCTCTCCCACACATATCAGCTATGAGAGTTTAGACATTCAACATCAAACAGAGCCTATGTCATTTACCAAAGACTTCTTCCATTGGGGGCAAATCCAGTGACTTTACAAGTCATGTACATGGGGCATCTGTGCTTTGCATGTGCATGCACACCCACAAGTATGTGTGTCTGTGTGTAACAGGGCATTGCAATAAAAACTTGCCCTTCTGAGTTAAAACGGCGTACACATACATGCGCATACACACAGTAAATTTCAATTCTCTGGAAGAGATAAATGACCTATTCGATACTGGAAAAGATGACAGCATGGAATAAATAAATCAATAATCAAATAAGTAAGCAGAGTCCAATGCTAGCTGCATAGCCCACGAAGATAACAAAAATGAGATGGTGTGGTTTGTAACCTCAAGTTTACCAACCAGCTCGGTGGGGATTCAAGGGCTACATCCATGAGACAGGTGACTCAACACAAAACAGAAATGATGAAGGCCAAATGGCCAGAACAGATGGGACGACTCTAGAAAAAGTCATGACTGCTATAATTGGGCGAGGTCAAGGAAGGCTTCAGAAGAGGAGGTAGGATTTAGGCCAACTTCTGAGAAGAAGGGGGTCTGAGAAGCAAAGGTGAGCCAGGTTGGGGGCACAGCACGTGAAAAACAGATGGAGGCGTGTGGAGCAGGGCATGTTCAAGGACCTAAGAAGTTCCATACAGCAAAAGCAGGAAGTTCATGCTCAGAAGTGAAGGGAAATGAGTTTGAATTGAGGATTGGGGGGACACTGAAAAAGGCCCTGAATGGTAAATCACCCAGACTGAACCAACTTCATGTCAAGATGGAGCTGAAATTTATGCTCCAAATGACCCTCTCTGTGTATAAACCAAATATTTTTAACATACAAGGAAGAAAAGGCACAACAGGGCACAAAAGTAAATTCAATATTTTACAGCCTAGAAACAAACTAAGACACAGTGGCAGGCCACTGGCTCCAGAGCTGGAAGCCCACAGAGGTAGGCAGATGTCCCATTCCTGGGGGCACACAGGACAAAAGCTGCTGGCTTGAAACCCAGGCTGGAGTCAGGCTCTCCCATCTGAAAGGGACTGAGTGAAGCCACAACCGCTGCCTTGGGCCAGGGTTTGTGCAGAGCTGCGTCCCTGCCTGAGAAGCCAGCCTGCCGAGCTCACCAAGGGAAGAGAGCCTGGGTCATTAAGATCTGTTTCTAGACTGGAAGGCCCAGGGGTCAAGTGGAGACAAGAAGAAAGCCAGTAGGCAGGGAGGAAAACATAGAGAGGGGAGAGAAACCCAAAACTCCCACCCAGAGGGAGACTACAGATGAAAATTCCAAAACACACACGGAACATGAACACCAAGGGAACTGACAAAGCCTGCAACCAGCAGACGGGCTCTCACTGAAATCACAGACACATGACAAAGCAATCTCCAAACAACTTACCGTCTGAGATCCTCAAGGACAGACGATGAAGAATACCCATAAAAAGAACAAGGATTTATGAAGCCAAAATAGGCAGGTCCAAGTGAGGACAGATGGCTATCATAAAGAATGAATTATAAATGCTGGACATGCAAGATAACGGCCTTTGAAATCAAAAGGTCAACAGATTAGAGATACGCTGCAGAATGGACACGGCTAAAAGAGAATTAGTGAACTGGAAAATAATAGGAGGAATTCAATCAGAACACAGCTAGAGCAAGAGGAAGTTTAAAATATAAAACAGAAGGTAAGAATACTGAGGACAGACTGAAAGGCTCTAACGTAAGTATTGCAAAAGGAAAGAGTAGGGGGAAGGCAGAAAAGCAATATCCAGAAAGATAATTTCTGATTGTCTGAGATAATAATTGAAAAAGCCATCAGCCCTATGACTGAAAGCACACACTGAGGCCAGGAAGGATAAACTATAATGAGTCGACGTCTAGATTATATGGCAAAACTGTAGAACTTGAAGGAAAAAGAGAATGGCTCATGAACACCAGGACAGGGAATTGCACTGAGGCCAATTTCAACTGTGGCATAAGGAGACTGTTAAAGCAAAGCAGTGCACAATATTTCATTTGAATCTTCCTTTCAACTTTAAACCAAATGAGTATTCTTCATTCCTTTCAGTGTCGAGTACTGCGTTAGAAACCATAAAACATAAAAGAATTTTATAAAATGGATACAGAAAGTTTAAAATTCGGAGACTGCATGTTTAAAGCTGCACAGGTGAACAACGTGTAAACACACCCAGATGCATGTGTATGTAAAGCAACATTACATATTGATAAGGCACTAAATATCCTACGTGAATAGGAACAGAGATTAAGAAGTAAAACACTGGGCGGGCTCGATTTCTTGAGAAAGGCTTCAGAGGGTATACGGGAGATAACATGCTCTCTCATAACATGAGAAGCTGGGGAAGAAGGCAGGCGGGTTCCAAGAAAGGGCCTTCCAAAGGCCAGGACACGGAGAGGGAACCACACTCAGGGACAAGCAGGGTAAATGAGGCAGCAAGGAACGCTACGGCGAGCAGAGAACACGGGGCCTGAACGCTCAGCGAAGGAATTCAGGATCAGTGTCCCAGCACTAGGGGATCACTGGCCACTTGTGAACAGGGGAGTAAGACGATGAGACCGGGACCTGCTACCTGGCAGAGCTCTCCAGCAGGGCTCGGCAAACTACAGCCTGCGGGCCCAATGCAGCCATCATCTGTTTTTGTAGATAAAGCTTCATGGGAACGTTCATTGATATATAGAGAGTAGTCAGGAAACAGAACCAAAACTTGACCATCTGGTCCTTTACAGAAAGAGTTTGTGGCTCTACTTTAAAGTGTGAATTAAGACTGAGTTAGGAAGATCGTCAGCAAGGCTAACACAACAAAGACGAGAAAGCGGCAGAACAGAGAAGAATGGGGAGATCCCGAGAGATGGTGGATGGCATCGCTGACGTAACCTGCCACCTCGCCAGGAGAGCATCCTTGAAAGTGTCTGAAGATCAACATAGAAGAGTGAATAACAAAACTTACTATAAGCTACCACTTAATAATACTTCTAAAAGTCACAAAAAAGATTTTAATAGGATTGCGTATCTTATTTATGTTTAAATACCCTACAGTCAATACAACAGAAGCTTTTCATAAAAGGCTGTTCCCATAAGCAAAGATTAATGTAACCCCCAACAACAGAAGTGACAAAAAATTCTTTGTAGCCAACCTGACTATATATATATAATATGTATTTTTTTTCTAACAAAGCACATTATTTTGGAACTCCTCATGTAAAAATGTTGTAAAAGAGATGTTTACTAAGGATCAGAATTTTCCTTCAGGTAGTTAAGTTTCCATTAAAAATATATATATATTATTTTAAAATTCATAATAAACATGTTAGAGCTACAGGTCATATATTATTGTTTAGTAGTTTCTGTATTATTATGTGCACTGAAACACAGAATAATTTTTTAGAAGCACAGAAATTCCCCAAGGACTCCTGCTGAGCCAGGGACCGGGGACAGCAGACAGGGCTCAATCTGGTCTCCTGCCTCCAGGGTTTCTGCTGAGAGCTCCCAGCCTCGTGACTGCCAGGGTTATCTTCATCGAATCAGATGTGATCAAGTCACTCCTGCTGAAAAGATTCCAGTAGCTCACACTGCACCTCCCAGTTTGGTTTCAGCTTAATCTTCCAGCCTTGTCTTTAGGTAACCATCTCTGGCTTTAGCTACACTGGAATAGTCATTGCTCTTAAGACAGTAATAGCGAAATTTATTGAGCATTATCTAAATGTGCTGTGTAAACTACTTCATATGATTTATCTCAATTAATCATCACAATCACCCTATTACAGAGATATTATTATCATTACCACATAAGCTTCAAGGCCTCACAGTCCGCACAAACCGCATTCAAAATACACATTCATATGTTTGCATAAAATTTACAAAAATAGTTTGTACTCTTTATAGGTCTCATCAAATTGTGTAAGTTTCAGGGTGCACAAAACCTAGATCTGCTCCTGATTATTATTATCCTCATCTACTGGGGCTCAGAGAAGTTAAATAACTTGCCAAAGTACTCACCACAAGGAAGTGGTAGAGATAGGATCTGAACCCAGGTCTCCTTGTCTTTAGAACCTAAGAACTTAACTACAGTACTAACACTGTACCTCCATTCTTGCGGTCCCCACTGCCTGAAATGTCCATTCTTCCTCTTCCTGTTTTCCTCATTAGACTCCTAACAGGCTCCTATTCATCCTCCAAAGCCCAACTAAAATGTTACCCCTTCTTCACAGCTTTTCCTAACTCTTCCTGTGAAAAAATGAGATTACCTTTTAGATATCCCTCTATTTTAAACATCTACCACAGTATATATATATGACATAATGTAATCAAAAGAATGTGCTTTTTTGGAGTCAAACTGACCCAGGTGCAAATTATGGCTCTGCTTCATATTTGCAGTATAATCTAGGGCAAATATTTAAACTCTCAAACCCTCAAATTATTTATCTTTAAAATAGAGCAATAACTCCTATCACATTCATTCATTTAAACACCCAATCATCCATAATATATACCCATTCAAGAAGTACCCAGTGAGTGCCTAGTATATATGCCAGGCACAGAGCACACATCTATGAAAAACAGAGGCACCGTTCCTGCCCTCACAGAGCTTACAGTCCAGTGGAGGATACAGATAAGCCAGTAGACGATGAAAATGCAGAGTGGGAATCTGAGTATCGCAGTGACCAAGGCAGAGTGTGCAAGAACTCACGGGGAAAGCATCATGACCTCGCGCGGACTTGCGGGGTCAGGTGAGGACAACGGAGATGAATAGCAAGTCAGTGGTAAGTCTCTTAAAAATAACACAGAGCAAATATTCAAGACAGCTACCTCAAGTAATTTCAATTTAATAAAATACTTCCACCCCACCCACACCATCATCACACGTCCCTCATTTCTTAAGCATTTGAAAACTCCTCTGAACGTCAGGGAGGGGAAACTGATTTTTCACAGTAAGTGGGTCAACCAAAACGAAACCTGGTGCATTGCACTGGCCAGGAGAAAGTGCAAGACCAAGAGACCAGGCCAGACAAATAAAAATCAACCCTGCTTCTCAGAATTCTGTCGCAGCCATAAGGAGTCCTTAACATTTGTTCTTGTCTCCTGGGTTAAACCATTTCATGACAGAATGAGGAAATCATTTTCACATTTTTCTGGGGGCTGAACTGCTGCATAAAGTGAGAGAGCAATTGCGGCTTTCAAGAGAGATGCTAATTGCAGCTTTTAAAATATTAGACTCCCTCTAAACGCCCGGCACCTTCACCCTCTGGGAGTTTCTGGGTCTTTCTTAAAGGTGCTGGGAGGATATTGCCATACAGACTTCACTGCCTACCCAAGGGTTTAAAAACGTTTTTGAGTAATTTATTCCTAGTTCTTCAAGGGTCGTATGTCTCCCATCTTCAGAAGCACTGGAAAGAAGGGCCATCTTATTTAGACAAGAAACCCGTAACCATTAGAAAAGCTGCAGTGAACTAATAAAGGAAAAAAACTCTCAGCTTGCTACTTTATTCCACATTTAATGGGAATTACCATCTTAAATTAGACTTTCTGCCAGTGAGCCAGCAGGGGTAGGACTTGGGGCCCCGCCTGTCAAAGAAGTTGTCTAGGCAAAGATGAAGGGGGCAAAATCGGCTCTAGGACACCAGCTAGTCTCACTTCCTGGGAGGGTGAGAGGGAGGAAAGTGTTGTCCTGCTGGCAATTCTATTTAGAAACACTCTGCATTACCATAAGATGACCAATTTAAGAAGGAGAAGGGGGAAGAGCAGCAGCTGCAGACACAGAGTATTACTTTAAATTTAATTATTGGAAAAATCACTCTATTCAGGACAGGAGAGGGATGGGGAAGGGGAGGAGAAGTGAAGAAAAACAACAAATTATGGAATGAAACCAAAATTAAGTTCTGTAAACATGGCGGGCTAGGGGCTCCAACAATCATCTAAAGAAAGTTCAAAGAGGAAAACTGAGGTCCAGAGCCAGCAGAATGCTATTCTTGTCAAGCTACCCATGTTTCAGGGATCCAGTTATAAAACAAAACCATTAGCTGTGAAATCTGCAAGATACTCATAGAATTACCTATGTATCCGTATGTGTAACATTTTTTCTGAAAACAGAATGATCTGTACTCTGGTCTAAAAAAGAGGCTCACCCACAATCAGTATATGAAAATGTTGACTGAATTCAGTTCATGCTGTGAAGTCTATGACTTCTAAAACCTAGTCGTGAAAATGTAAATACACTTCATTTTCCGTCTAATCCCAGTTACCGGGATTTAAGTTTTACGGATATATGTGTACCCATAACTTAGTGGGATTAGAGTCGAATTCAGGGGTGGGGTGGGCTGGGTCTGTAATCTATACAGGGAAATAAAATAATGTTGAAGAACATCCTTGGGAATACAATCACACGGGGAAAATCATGTGTGCCAGAAAGGACTTATGTGGCTAGAATGGGAAAAAAACTTTGAAAGAGGCCTGAGGTAGCAATGGGAGTAGTAATGAGTGCAACCAACACACAGACACACACACACACACACGCACGCACGCACACATACACACGCACACACACACATGCTGCATCCTCACATTAGAAAAGTGCTTTCTAAACTGCTAAGGAAAGCGGGGCCCCTTAGCTGTTACCTAGATTAACAAGGTTTTACCCTAATAGGGATTATTTCTTTAAAAGGGGGCTTAGTAACCAAAATAAAGGGCTCACATGTTTGGAGATCTTCCATCCTGTCTCTAGGAGAGTGACAGCTAATTTTAAACATCTTGTTACCCTACCTTCTCCTCCTCTACATCCTGGGTACCTACTTACAAGCCTGCCTTATAAGCACCTTCTGTTTGCCATGTAATTAATTCTGGGTCAGTTCCCTGCAGGAGGTGACACAGTCAAGGGCCTGGTGCTTTTCTGAGAAGACACGATCCACTCAGCACCTTCCACATGTAAATGCTCCAAACTCATCCTCTGGCATCTGATGTGGAAGAAGCCAGGGTACCACTCCAACCAGAGCAGAGGCCGGCTCTCCTATGCCTCAGCCCCTGACTTTGCACTCGATACTCAGAGAGATTTGAAAATTTAACTGAAAAGTAGCTTAAGTCAATAGTGTCCATGAGGAAGGGAAATGACAGCTGTTTCCCTTCTCAGAGAAATCACTTTAAAAGGAGCAGGAAGAGAAGAAAAAGAAGGAAGGAAGAAAACTGGGTTGAAACTTGGCATTTACTTGAAGAGGAGCCAGCAGAATGCACATGCAGAGACAGTCTCCCAGCACAGAGGGAAGGCATCGGTCAGAAGGCTTCCTTGGAGCTATTGAATTTCTTGGGTGGCAGCCTCGGAGGGGAAGGCAAGGCACCAAAGTTGCATTCAGGGTTCTCAGGGCCAAGAGCTGGTGTCTGCGAACTTACGGGGATGGAGCGGCTCAGGAATCTCGCTGAGGAAGAGGAGAGGCCGGTGTAGGAGGGCCGGAGGGCGGTGCTGGGCTCCTCCGTCTTGGCGCACTGGGGGCTCGGCTGACTGTTCAGGGGGTTCCCAGTGCTGCTGGTGCTTCTGCTGGACTGGTTGTTGTTGAGCTCAGGGTCATTCCTGGCAGGCGGCTGGGGGCTGCCATTCAGGAGGCTGGTGAACGGGTTGGCTATGAAACCCACCCTCAAGGGTGAGGCAGCCTTTTTGTTCTCTGGGTCATCTGCTGCATTGTTCAAGTTCCCGAGGGAACTGGCTAGCCGGGAGTTTATGGAAAAGCTGGATGAAAAACACAGATGAGGGGGTAAAACAGAGACGACCGTGTATACTCACGCCGAGGTCACAGTTCTAAAACACATCATTCAACGCTGGGGGAATGCGATGAAGACAGTCTGGCTGGTGCTGATGGTGACACAAGGGCTTCCTTACCGCTCTTGGTGATATTCTAATATGCGGCCTTTAGTTATACGTGTTAACTCCCCCTGTCAAAAGGAGTCAGCTAAGACCCGAGAAGCGGGCTAAAACGCTTTGACCAGAGATCGTGAAACAGACCATGTGGGGGTCCTATTTGTCCTGAGGCAGGAAGGAAATGAAAAGGACTCTATAAAGAGAGAGTACAAAGCAGGCTTAAGGACAAGATTTAACCTCTTTATAGTTGATCATATGACCACAGCAAGTGCCCCTACGCACTTCAGTTCTGCCCATTCACCTCGGGGGAGAAATGACAGTATCGCGTGTTACTAGTACGTGCAACTGGACTCCGTTTTCTGGATCACGTTAGGCAAGCTGTGGAAAGGGACGTTACATGGCATCCACTCCGTGGCCGTGTCCCCGACAATTCAAGACAGGAACAGAAGACTGGAGGGCCACCAAGCCTTTCATGGTCTCTCCCCTTCCTCCCGGTCCCCTCCTCTCACAAACTTCACCGAACTCCTTGTCTGCTGCCACCTTCCCCCCTACCCCGCCACCGCAGGGGCCCCAGAAGGACAGAAGAATTACCTTCTTACACTGGCGCCGGAGGACAAGGAACCTCTGTTTATCCTCTTGGCCGTCACTGATGGGGACAAAGCCACTTTTGAGGTCTTCAAAGTAGATGCAGATCCTTGTGGGGAAGAACTCAATCTTTGTGGAGAAAAAACGGGCAGAGCGTCACACAGAAGCTGTGCTATCTTAACACGCAGTCAGGTGACTAGGACAGGAGAAACTGATCAACACTAAAGAGATCATGGCAGGTCCCAGTAATGGTGACTCTGGCAGCAGCCAACACTGCTGCAGCCCTCGCTCTGCGCTGGGCGCTCCTCTAAGAACCTTGCAGACGTTAAAGCCGCTCATCCTCACAACAACCCAGTGCCTGGCGAGGGGAGGAAGCGGAGGCACAGAGGAAAAGCTCCTCGTCCAAAGCACTGAGCCAGCAAGTGGCAGAGCCGGGTTCCAAACCCAGGATCCAAAGTCCTGCTGGTAACCACGATCCTGCCACCCTTGGTCACTTCCCTTCCCTTCCTTGCCACTGGCATTCATGCCTCCCAAGACCCTAGATTCTATTTCTTTATATTTTAAATCTATCCTCTCCTTCCCACCCTGAGACTGCCCTAGGTAAGGCCATCACTGCTTCTCATCCTTGACTCTTAGAAGCACCTTTTAATCTTCTTTAAAACGCACATTCTGAGTAGCCTCCAGCAAAATCCAAAATATCTAATCATGTCACGTTACTGTTAAACCATTTCATCTTTCCTCGGTGCCGAGAAAGACTAAACTTCTTCACTTGGCTTCTAAGGCCCTCCAAAATCTGGCATTTGCCTCTCTGAGCAGGCCCAGCTCACCACACTTTCCCATTGGACACTTCTACCCCAGCCACGCAAGATGCCCTGAGTTCCCTGAGTGGATGGCACCCACACCTCTGTCCAGGATTCATCTGCTACCTTTCCTGCCAAGGCATCTTCTCTCCTTACTTCCCCCTCCTCCTTTCTCTTCCACCTTCATCTGACTCCCTCCGACTGCTTATCCTTTGATGGTCCAATCAGCAGCTACCTCTTAGGGCTGAATCCCAGGCAGGGTGAGCATCCCATCATACGTTCTTATAGTAAATCATAGCTCTTCCCCCACACGTCATTGTCTGGTATTCGTCTTGATATAAGCTCCATCAGGAGCAAAGACTTGCCTCTCATTTCAATGCCCAGTGACTGGCACAGGCCAGACTCAGAGCAGGTATTCAATAAATGTTTGCTGAGTGAACAGGAAGGGAAAACTGACTCCAATCTGGACAGAGCCAGGGTCCAGGCCTGGTTTTAATATTGTATCTGCTTTGTTCTGGACAAATCGCTGAATGTAGCTGGACCTTGTTTTCCCTCCAAACAGCAGCTTGTAACATGGTTTGCCTCTAAAATAAGAATGGGAAAAGTTGGCCAAGGAAGCAGCTCAAAGCTTCTAGAGAAGTCTGGGCCCTCTCAGAACTGCCCCCACAAAACAACCCTAAAAGCTAGGGCTGCATAAGAGCAGAGGGGAGGGGTGAATCTGCTTCCTCCCCGCTCCGCTGATGGCAGGTGTGGTCAGACACTCCTACTGCCCTCGCCGAGCCCTGGGCCGGACAGACCCTGAGACGCTGGCAGCCAGAGACCGCCAGGGAGCGTTCAGGGCACGTTTGTCCAGGGAAAAACACTAATGCTTCCTCCTCCAGCAGAGAAGAGGTAAGGAAATAAAACTAATGCAAAAGTAGGAGGAAAGAAGACTAACAGACATGTTAAAAAAATTCAAAGTGCAACCTATCACTGGCTTGAGAGGCATTTTTTTTGTTATTGTTTTTGTTAATATTTTATTCATTATTGTACTATTTTAATTGTTTTATTTTGGGGGGAGGAGGTAACTAGGAGTTACTGGGGGTTGAACCTAGGACCTCGTGCACGCTAAGCATGCGCTCTACTACGTGAGCTATAACCTCCCTCCTTGAAAGGCATGTTGCAGAGCAACTGTAGCTGATTAGAGACCCCACAATGCTCTAGGCACACAGTGTACACTGGCATCATGCCCACTGCCACACAGCCCTGTGGGCACCTCAGGAAAACAAAACTTCTTCATGATGGGCATTCAAAATAAAGCATATTTTAACCATCTGAAACAGCAAGGAAGGAATTTTAAGAGTGAAAAGCTGTGTGCAGTTTATTCCCTTGGATTGCAGGGTTGGGAAATGCATCTAATAGGTAGCATTCATTTATAAGCTACAGGAAACTCAACCTCGCCGACAGTACCTGGAAGGCTGGGACACTGCTCTTGGATGCCCTTTCATATCCTCCAACCTATGGAAATCAAAGACAAATGATCACACGTCACCAGGGTCACACACTTAGGCAAAGACGTATCATCTGGAGACAGTGGGTAAAAGGGGAAAACCTTGCAAACGGGTATTAGTATTTATTCACTTTATGAAATAAATCCTAGAACCAGCAAGAAATCTATTTCAGTCATTTTGTTTCATCTTGAATTTCATTGACAGCAAATTGCTTTTCAAGCAGAGGACGGCATTGCGTCTACTCAGGGTAAAGCATGTTTGATGATGACGCCATGATGCTGTTAAGAAAAACTAAGTCCCCCAAAAACGAAAAAATTTCTGAGGATAAAAAGAAAAAGGAAAGAAAAACATGAGCCTTCTAAAGTTTGTATCACAAAGATTCTCTCGTTTCTTTTGCCTTTTTATTTGCCAAGTTATACTCCAACTTATCCCTTCCTCCCCCTTATGATTTCTTCAAAATCACAGATAAATCTGTCTGAAATTAATTTTAATCAATATAAAGCAATTTAGAGTTTCAAGGGAAAATGGTGAATAAAAAAGACTGGTAAAGTAAACCGATCTTGAAGAAGCTTCCACTGACTTAATACATACAGTGAAAAGAGCATGGACTTTGAACAGCACGGGCTTTGAATATCAGCTAGGGAGTGAGTCAACCTCTCTAGCATCAAGCAACCAACTCAAACGTGGTTAATGGTGCTTACATTTGTGCAAACCCAGCTAATCCTCACGTCTAAACCAGGCACCTAACACGGCTCCTGGCCCATCGCAGCTGCTCAATAAATGGTACATTTCCTCTATCTCCTAGTGGTAGCTGGTGATTATTATTAACTACCAGGCTTCCTAGCCCATCTTCCCACCTTATTATAGAAAATAGTGACCTCAACTTTGAGCTGTATGAACCTTCATTTTTCAGGGCAAGAAACCAGTACTCAAAGCATAGGTAATGGTATGACCAGACCCAATCTGACTTCAGTGTTTGTAATCCTCCCAGATAACACGTGGAAACTAAGTTCCACGTGAGTATGTGTTTGATGTGTAACATACTAGCAAAACGTCCCTCTTGCTATGCATTTTCCCTCGCTTAAAAGTCAAAGGAAAGTGGCCATTTCCCGTTATATTCATTTGTGGACTTGCCACCCCTTATATTCCAATAGAGAATGTTGATGTTTATAGATTTTTGTACCTACATTGATTCTGAAGGCTTTTCTTTTAAACCTAAGCTGAATTATCAGAAGATTTCAAAGGCTGCAGTCAGAAGTTAAGTCCCATCAGGTGATTCTGATGAGTAATTTCAGACCTACAAACCAAGATGGTTCCCAGGCATGGATAAGAACTGCTTATTTAATTCTCAAAAATAGGAAGTAAGGCTAAGGAGTTAGGGCATACCACAGCTTGGAATACAATACGTTTCCGCATACTTTAAACACAAAAGCCTCGGCACATCTGCGAACATTCATCACAAGACAGGAAACCCACCCACAGGAGAAGAGCGGCATGCCACTCTCAGAATTCCAGTGGGAATGTGAACAACGTCCCAGAGACAACCAACTGCTTAGCTGTTTAAGGCGGAATCCCAGAGATTAAGATGCAGCATTTGTTTTCAATTCGCTTCTAAAATTTAGCTACTCCCCACGGGGATAAAATAATAAATAAATAACACAAAATAGTAATAAACCATAAAATGAGAGGAGGACATGGTACTTACAGAATGATATTCAAGAGAGAGGCTTAGATATTGTAGTCACAAGTGGCGGTACAAAATAAATTTAAAAGTTTAAAACAGACCTACCTAAATGCACAGGATGGCGAGGAGCGTGGCTGTCTCTGACTTTTTAAGGCACGGAGTTTGTCTCCCTGGGTTATGTTATTTTTCATTTCCACATCTTCATCCTCTTCTAAATTATTCTGGGAAAAAATGCATGTTCCACAGAAAGGTTATTATGAATAATTCTGCTTTAGATAGAGTTCCTTAATAGCTTATGAATTATTATTATATATTTTATATAGATTATCTTAAATAGCTTTAATGCACCATGAATTCAGCATTGGCCACATACATACTAAAGAAAGCTGGACTAATCACCAATTAAATATACCGACCAAATTCCAAGTCAAAGCAGCCTGGGTGTGGGTGTGGTGGGACTTAAAAGGAGCTTTGTTCCAATGGCCCACAACCTCAGGGACTCTCCCGCAGACATAATCATGCTTTGGAATACAGCTTAGACGCGGGCTGGCTCAAGAGATACAGCACAGATACATTTTCAGAAACGACCAGGATCCATCACTGCAACTTTCATAACTTGTTTACAAAAGTGAAAGACAGAAGAGTTTAGGATATCTACACAGTAACTTATTATTGGACACTTGTTAATAAAGCACTCGAACTTTTTCCGAAAGGAGTTAAAACTCACTAGATTGGGAAAGTGTGTTTCCTGCTGAAATAAGTCTTACAGCTGAAAAAATATGGAAGTAGCACACTAGGTCTTTCTGCTTGCCAGCTCACAATTAATTCTCACAACCCAGGGAGCGGCAGTAGGGAGAGCACTGTTACCCTTTGTTTAAAGATGAAAAAAAGAGGTGTTTGTGGAAGTTAAGAATATTGCTAAGCTCCCCTAAACCGTTCACAACAGAGCTATGATTTTAAAATCAGATTTCCTGTCCTCAGATCCAATGTTCTTTCTAAAATATACACCACAGCATACTAACATTGCACCATAAAGATTGTATTTTGCCTGTTTCCTCACCTGAAAAAAAAAATCAAAAGCTTTGAGTTTGCTAAGATCATTTCTAGCCATAAGAGTCTCCTCTCCTCTTTAAAGCTAGAATTCTTCTTTGATGAAGAATGTACAAAAATATACTTCCCTCAGTCACATTCTAGTCATTTCTGACAGCCACTCCTGGATCAAAATGCCTTTTTTCCTCCTGCTTTTTCACCCATGTTGGGATCCATGGATACATCTGGGGCTCAGCAGGCATGTCCTGGGTAAAAAGACCACACCTCTCTACTACAGCTCTGAGTTTAAAAAAGAAAAACACACATACAAAGTATTCAGGCAGTGGGAAAGAAGAAGAAATGAAGATGAAAGCTTCCTAGGGGAGCCATCCCTTAGCTGAGTCTTAAAGAATGAGTACAAGTGATCAAGCCAAGCCAAGATCACAGGGTGGGTCATCCTGGCAAAGAACACCAGTTCAACAGTCACAGGATCCTGGAACCTCAGAGTCAGAAGGCTCTCTTACAGTCATCTAAAGGCGCCCATCCATAAAGTCCCAAGGAACCATCTATATTATTCATCTTTGTTCATACAACCCGGTGGGGGTAAACCTATCACCACCCGAGGAAGTCTGCAGGAATAGAAGCTGGGCAGCCCTGAAGGCGAGGCTTGCAAGCAGGCTGGTACACCTGAGAAGCTGAGCTTAGCATCGCCCAGCATGCAGTGTAGCGGGCTGTCACCAGTCACTTGTGCCTGATGGAAGGACTAGCACATCACCAGAGTCTCCAGAACATGAGGTGGGATCAAGAAGTGTATTAGCCTTCATAAGATAGGCAAGGAAAGCTTCTTGAAGGACTTGACGTGGTCCCCACCCCATCAGTTTCACTGTCCAATGGGGGCCTTTGTGGGAAAATCCAGGAGATCTTGTTTGTCCATTCAACTAGAAGGATCTTGTGTTCCCTGCTCTAGAATGTCTTCAAAATTCTAAGGAAAAGTGATTTTCATCCTGAAATTCCAAAATTCAACCTATCAGTCAAGTATAAAGGTAGAACAAAGGTACAAAGGTACAAAAATTTACCACCCACCAAATCTTCCTGAGAAAAGTATTATAGGGATGTGCTCCAGGAAAAGAAGACATGAGAGCCAGGAAAATTAGGGATCCAACTGAAAAGTGTAAAGAGAAGGTCCCAGGTCAGAACTCCACGTTTGGGCTAGAGCACAACCAGCCTGGGTTGGAAGGCAGAAGTGTCTTCAGGAAAAAAAATGGACTTGGTAAGATTTTTTTGCTGTGTTGAGATTTTGGAAAAAAAAATGTAAATTGCATGACACAATTTGTGGGACAGGGAGAGTAGCATTCTCTTCTCACAAATATAAAGAAAACTACACAAATAAAAAAGGCATTTCACTATAGGAAAAATAAGAGAAGTTCAACAAAGAAAACAGTCATAGTAGACTGCTAAGCTCAACAGTGAACAATGTTTACGTGGTAATAATGCATACATTATTGGGTTTAACCAAAAAATTATAATATAGCTACACTGGGGAGCGAGGGGAAGTAGACAGCAAGGTAGGAGAACTAATCCTATCTACCATAACCAGGAGGCAATAGAAAAATGTCCAAAATTGATCAATTTTAAAAATAGCATTATAAGCAAGATATTTAGAAATATGACAGTGAAAATATTAGTATAATTTGCAAAAAGGTTCCCCCTTTTGAAAGCGGGTCTGGGGGTACAGAGAGGCGGGATAGGGACCTGATTTTTTTTTATTAGAATTCAATACTTTTAATATTTCTCAAACCATGGTCATGTATTATTTGAAAAGCTAAAAATTAATTTAAAAATATACAGTTGAATGAAGTAACAGTGTATTTTATGTTACACTTCACATGTGTTTATCTTTCTCATTTTATTGTAAATCTTAAAGGTGAAATTTTTTAATTATAACAGATTTCAAACATGTAGAAAAATAACAAAAATGATGTAACAGACAGTGATGAACCTAACTACCCAGAATTAATTTTTTTCTTAAGCTTCTTAAGGAGTTTTCTTAAGGACCTCAGTTCTCAAAGAAAACACGACATGTCCCAGGTCTCAGCCTCTGGAGAAGAGAACTATGTCTTTTCTAAACAAACAATATATGTATTTTATCGTACAATACTTGTTTGTCCTAGGTAACAACAAACTACAGAAAAGAGATAAAAAATATTAAATCTATCTGTATACTTACTATCATGAGCAAAACACATTGGCATTCTGTCACAGAATCTTCCAGACTTTTCCCTGTGTGATAACACACCCAAAGGACATATTTCTCTCTCACAAAAAGAGGCTGAATTATACGTGCTGCTTTGAAATTAACATTTTCCACTTAAATATATTGTGCAAGTGTTTCAGAGTAAATTTAAAACCCCTTTGCATTATCATTCTTTATGGGTCCATAAAATTCATTGTCTAGATGTACCAAATTTTGCTATTTTTCTCTAGGTGAGGCTGTTTTCTGTCTCTCATCACTATAAGCAGCGCCAACAAACATCCTTCTGTAAACACATGGTTTCTGAACACTGTCCTGTTATTACTGCCTTAAGATAAATGCACGGAAGGGGACTTGCTGACATGTCTTCTGCCACGTTATCAAACCGCCCTCCAGAAAGGCAACACCACTTTCAACTCCAAACAGCAATGTCTAAGAGCTTTTTGGTCCCTAAACCCTTGCTAATAGCGCATACATTTCTTTAATCTCATACAACTTGATAGATAAATAGCATGTGCTTCTTTCATTTCTAGGCAAGTAGAGCATTATTTTATATTTACCAGACATCAGGGCTCCCATTTTGTTTTATTTGTGCACATGGAGTTTTCACATTGGTTTTTTTAAGAGTTCTTTACATTAAAAAAAAAAAAAACCTCATTCAAATGTGTTGCAAATATTTCCTCCCAGCTGATTACTGTGAGGAGAATGAATTACAGAGATCAGGCCTGGGGTGGGAGGGCACAGCGGTGGTCTGGTGAGAGATGACAGGTTGGATTAGGGCATGAGAAACTGCCTGGAAGTCAGGACCTGGGCAAGGAGGAGGACGAGAAAAGGTCTGGACATGGAGTACAGGGCTGGAAAAATCTGCTAAAAGGTAAACCATGTTTTGTTTCTTTTAAATCTCAACCTATATCCCCTTTTATTTCTGAGGCTGCTGTAAGAAGTTTCAGCCATTTTTAGGGTGGAGAATATAAAACATATGAGCTATAAAATTCTTCCTAAGTGATTAACAGTCTTCAAACGCTTGACAAAAATAGTTACATACAATGTTGTTCGTAACACATTGAAATTAAATTATAAAATCAAGAAACTGAAAAGCTACATAGGAGGGGACTCTGGCCTCCGGGAACCCTACACTGACACCCAGACAGGAACACCGCTAAGCCCTGCATTTATTAGGGCACCTGCCACACATACCAGGTCACAAGCACCTGTGTGGGGAAGCGTACATTAGAAAACACAGTTCCACGTTTCATGAGGCATAAATGAGTCCCGAGAACTGGCGGACCTGGGGAAGTCTGAAGACGTTTCTCATCAGGTGCCGGTAGGCCTCATTCTTTATACCAGAGTCATCCCTCACGATGACAAACGATGAACAAAGACACTAATGATAAATGCCGATTATCTAACTCGGCCTCCCTGTCCCCGCGGGCTCCAGCCCCTCTCCCCACAGTCCCAGTGCAGCCCCTCTCCTGCTCCGTCTGAGCTGCCCGGGTCGCAGCAGCGTCCCTGAGACAAAGCCACATGGTTGCTGGCAACAAGGATGAAGAAAACTAGCCCAGGGAAGACCTTTGTATCTTGGCTCCCCAAGCAAAGGGTCTGCTCTCAGACTCCCTGTCGCCCTCTGGAGGCTCTGAGCATCAGTGCATTTGCTTTTGGATGCCAGCCCGCTTCACATAGACAAGAAAATGAAAGCCAACTGAAGCCCATGGAGGAGCATTTTTTAAAGACAGATTTACAGGTGATGGTCTAGCTAAAGAACAAATAATAGCATAAAATTTGAAGATGTATGTTATTTCACCCATTGTCCTCTATATACAGACAAGATCAAAACTAAAATCAAGTAAGTTAAACTCTGCCCATCGATTTCAGTTGGATAAAGTAATTACTGACCAACACATTAATAAAATGGTGACTGAGTAAGCGACCAGGGGGGCTGCCGTGCGCGCCATTAAGAAAGGATCTATTAGATGAAGTACAGCACACCAGGGAATAAAGAGGGGAGAGTTATAATGGAAAAATGACATAGGAGGAGAGTTTGAAATAGAAACAAGTAAAAATAGAAGTCTCAGGACTGAAAGAAAAAGTTGAAAATGGAATTTTTAGCAGATTTAAATGATTTGGCGAGGAAAAATGTCTGGGTCATCTCTAAAATTCTTTTCAGCTCTCAGATGTTAAACCTACAAGACACAAAAGCTGGGGAAAGGCAAAGAGGTCATCCTCGTACTGAGCTGCTTCTGAACAATAAAAAGAAGCTGTCTTCTCTCCCTCCTCCTGCCATTGGCTCAGACCTTTATCACCTGGACCACTGCCTCATCACCAGCTCCCTTGCACCACTGGCCACATACAGACACCAGCACCTCTTCCCCACCGCAGCCAGGGTGAGCGCCCCAAACTGTGAATCTCTAGTCACCCCCCCCGACCAGCAGCATTCAGATTGGAACTGGAACGCCTTAGTCCTACGAACGGAAAGCAGGGTCTTAGAGATTTCATTTGTACTTCACAGATTTTCCTCTAAGGTGCACCCCGCTCATGGGCAAAGGACTTCATAAATCACAGCACCTCGGTGGTGAACACCACATTCTGATTTACCTGACTGTCAGTTTATGTGAACTGATCTAAATAGCAGCACCCAGATCGACCTAATCAGCCTCGCTACGTCAAGAGCACATACTGACGGGTGTGTGGACACTGGGCTATCAGCCCAGAGCAGGAAAAGAAAAGGATAAAAACAATGATAGTTACAGGAGAAATTTACCAGGACAGGCCGGCTAAGGTTACGGTCAAAATGACAGTATGTAACGTACCAGAGCCCCACAGAGGACCCCATAGAGGGGAGGCAGGGTACAGAGAGAGGCCTCTGGGCCAGGGGCTGAGGGCAGACTCTGGAGCCAGAGCTCCTGGGTTCAAACGACAGCTCCACTGTGTACTTTTGTGATCTTGGGCAGATGGCTTAACTTTCTCTGCCTCACTTATGTCATCTGTGAAATGGGCCTAGTAAAGGTGCCTATTTCATACAGCTGTAATAAGGACTAAAAAGTAATCCATGTAAAGTGCTTAGAACAGTGCCAGGCATGCAGTAGGTGTTGGTTAGGTTGTTGCCTTATAAGCTCCTCATTTCACTCCTTAAATATCTGGCACTTTAAATAAAGTGCTTTAAATTCCATCTTCTTAAAGATATTTTTTATAACCCCAACATGGAATGGACCCTAAGATCCCTGAATGTCAAAATGAGCACTTCTGGCTGGTACTATTTTGCATTTGAGCACATGCTACCCTTGAATAACTTGGATTATTACCAATTTCATGTCTGTTTTCCATGAAAACAGAAGCATTCACTCAAGTAGTATTTACGAAGGCCTGTGGTCTAGGCATAGACTTACGACGAGGGCAGATGGACGCCTCCGTCCTTATAAAGCGTGTCACCCAGCAGGGAAGGCGAGGTAAGGACCACGGAGGAAAAGAACAGGCAGGAGCAGGAAGCAGGGAGCCCAACCTGGTCCCACAAGACGGGCTGCGTGTATTTCACAGTTCCCAGCCCAGCACCGAATGAAGACCAGGTGCAATGAAGGTTAAGCCTCTACTGTTAAAAGGTTTCTCGTAACTCTAAGTGGGTGAAGGGAACCACTTCTTTAACGCCATAGCCTATTCCATGACTCTGACCTGAACCATTCTGGTTGGTGCTTCAGCTTAGCTTCCTTTCAACCACCTCGTAAGCACTGGAAAACCACATATTCAAGCTCTCCAAATCAGGTAGCCACAGAGCTTCCTCAGCTTCCTAATGACCAACCACAGGAAAATTCCTACAGGCCCAGGTGTCATAAAGTAATTTGCTACTTCCGCTTTCAATCCAATTTTACTTAAAAAACAAAACAAAACAAAAACCTCTAGAGGAACACTGCTTTTTTGCACTTTCTTTATGTATACACTAAATAAATCCAGCATTCCCACAGGCTTCTACCCTGAACGTTGGTATAGAGCTTGAAACACACAAAAACCCTTGCGGCATTCTCAACTGATATTCCCGCTTGGAATTCACGAGAATGATAAGGAAATCACTGACTCTGTTGCACGCACTTGAGTAAACTAACTCCCCATATTCGTGTAACGTTCTGGAGACAGCGCCAGATAAGCATGGCAATAAAAAGGCTCAGGATCAGAAGAGTCACTTGCACAAAGCATCACCAAACTATAAAGTGGTCCAAACCCATGGATATGTCACTGTCTATAATCTTAACCGCACCATCATTCTCTGGTATTTCTGAACGCTTTCATCTCTGCCCTCTAATTTCAAAAATAATAGCATTTCTGAAAGAAAGCCAAAGTAATTAACTTGGAGGGTAAGGGAAGTAGGAGGGAGGCGGGACAGCCAACATCTGAATATATGCTCATATTTGAAACTGACTTATTTAATTTACTTATTTATTTTGTTGAAGTGTAATTGATTTACAAGGTCAGTTTCAGGTGTACAGCAAGGTGATTCAGTTATACATACACATACGTATATTTTTTTCTTTTCAGATTCTTCTCGATTGTATGTTATTACAGGAAACTGAGTAAGTTCCCTGTGCTCTGCAGTAGGTTCTTTTGTTTATCTATTTTACATATAGTAATGTGTGTCTGTTAAGCCCCCAAAACTGACTAATTTTAAATTTCAATCATATTGCATTCTTCACCCTTTCAGTGATAAATAAATGTTAATTAGTCTCAAGTTCAACAAACTGAGATCTACAGAAAGTATGAGAAATGAAATGTTCTCACCACCAGATGTTAATTTAATACAGATTATGATATAAAAAACAAGTACGTCCCTGCAAAATAAGTATGCTTCTCAGATAGACAGATAGGTTTTACGTTTGCCTTTTCAGAGGTCATAATTCCAAAGCCCTGTTCACTTGAACTCAACCTGGGGAGGAAATGCTGACCAGAACAAGAAAAGTCTTCTGGCTTAACTATAGTATCACGATAAAATGTCAGTTCAGATCCTTTTGTTTGCTCTGAATGGGCCAAACTACAACACAGAGATGAGAAATGGTCAACAAAAGCTCTGGACATCAACATGACCTTGGCCAAGATTTACGTTTGGTCAGGACAGATGACTCAAACAAGTAAACTTGGCCCCTTTATCAGTGGCCATCCTGGAGAACATACCACAGGGTTGAAAACTCACTTCCTCCAGCAGTTCCCAGCCTTTCTCTGGAAGAAAACTCACTCTCCCTAACTCCAAGCACTCTGGTTATCTTTCCTGGTGAAAAAAAAGCCTGTTTGGGATGCCAGCTGCTGACCTAACAGAGCTATGACACGTCTTTTCCACTGTGGATTCCTTGAGGGCTAAGTCCATTCAAAGCTCTTGTCCATGTCCTATGGGTCACTGCCTAATAGAATGCACATCTAAAAAACTTTTTAAAAAAAGAATATACATCTATACTTGCTGCTTAAATATTTTAATAGTTTTTTTTGCCCCTTTAGGGATATAAAAATATAAATATTAACCTGGTGCTTAGCTTCCCCTCAGGCATATTATGGTAGAAAGAGCTAAACTAGGAGTTAAACTCCCAGCTCTCAGGGAGGTCCCACTAATTAAAAACTCTGCAAACTTGGGCAAGTAAACACTTTGTGGGACCCAGGTTTCCGATCCACACCAGAGGGGAAATTAGAACAAATTATTTCAAGGCTGCTTCTAGCTCCAAAAATGCCCATGGTCCTAATTCTTAGTAAATCACTATCTTGTATATTCAGAGGTAGCAGGTGTAATAGAAAAAACATGGATTTGAAATCAGATAGACATGGACTGAATCATGTTTCTAACATTGAGATTAGAACTTCTCTAATATTCAATGTCCTTATTATAAAAAGGATAATATTGCCTAACTCACCCAGTAGTTACAAAGGTTAAATCAGAAAATGTACCATTTTAAAGTGATTTGTTTATAATAGAGTCTCAATAAAAAAAGTTGCCCCTGATTATGTTTTCAACTCTAGACTTACTTTAGAAATCATGAATTTTTTTATTTTATTATTTAAAAAAATGTTTTAATGGTGGTACTGGGGGTTGAACCCAGGACCTACATGTTAGGCATGCACTCTACTACTGCGCTATGCCCTCCCCTCCAGAAATCATGAGTTTACGGCGTCAGTGTACGACATGTGGTATGTACTATTTCTTTGATTGTCACGTTAAGATTTTTCTTCTTGATATCTATTTTCACTTTCAAATAGAAAGTTTGCTTTTTTATTTCTTTTTTGTAAATATTTTCCAACCCAGAGTGGCCTCCTTTATAATTGTACTCTTTAAATTACAGCTTTTTTTCTTCTTAAGGATAATTGCTTTCTTTGCTCTGATTCTTGCTTTATAGATGATGACTCCATGCATAAAAATTTAGTACTCTCAGCCTTCAGAGAAGAGATATGACTATGTTATATGTGTTCAACTGGGAAACGAAGAAATGCAGAATGTTAGTCTTAAGGAGACACAAAAATCCTCCCAGGAAAAAAAACTCACCTCTCCAAATCTCTCCACATTTTGTATTTTAGGTAAGTTTCCACAAATAGACATATCATCCAAGCTGGAAAGAATTTTATTAATACTTCCTTCACAGGATGGTCTATTTTTCAGTTTGGATCGGAAAATGTCTCCTTGGACCCATAACGATGCCTGTTTTCTGTAAAAAGGAGAAAAAACAAAGTAATCTTTAAAATAAATGACTATCACATCCTCAGAAGTATGAAGTCTTACAGTCAAAAAGATCAGCAGATATACATTTACAAATCAGACTAAAAAGATTATGAAGTCTTAGAATAGAGGAAAATAGTCACTTTCTGAAAGCCAAAATGAATTCTATTGAAGTTCTATACTAAACACAAACACCCTTCTAATATATACCTGTATCGCTCTACATGGGTTGACTGTTAATGTTCTCAGATGCTTAGAACCAATTCCACAGCAGTAAAGACTGTGAGCCAACTTGTCTTTTAAATATGAATTTGAAATCGCTAACATATTTCTCAAATAGCAATTTGGTATGTCTGTTAAAATAGCTGGAGTGAAATGGACTCAAAGATGTGGGTGAAAGAACTTGAGTTAGATGGAGATAATATCTTTAGAAAGTACTGAACACCTAATTGTCTGTGGTCCCATGAAAAGCCCTGAACACATCACTTTACAAACCCACCCTTACAAGAATAAAGCTTATAGCCTCAATTAGATTATCCTTTGGGAAAAAGAAAATGTGTTTGATGTTCATCTATAGGCTTTCCTTTACTTAAATGAGGCATACTTAACAATTGTTTTCAAGGTTCTAAGAAAAAAACTTAAAATATTTAAGCAAAATGACAAACTGGGGTTTCTATTTTTATTGATGGAGTCACTCTCATACATTAAGATAAATTATCCCATAGAATCTTTTTCGTTCTATACTATACCATACCGCAAGGAATAGAATTAAACTAAAACATTGTGGTTTATCATAAGGAATGCCAAGAGGCAATGAAACAAGAGCATTATCAAGTTTGCTTAGGATCCTAGGAGACGGTGCCCCTAACTCAAAGTGAAAGAATCAGAAAGAAGTTGTCTGAGAGTCCAGAAGTATCTGGAAAGATGGGCAGGGCTTAGCCAGCGAGAGTATTCCCCGACAAGGAAAACAACGTGGGCTTGGAGAAATAGTGGTATCAAAGAACACGGCATGTATGAAAAACTGAGTCGGCTGTTGTCTGACTTGACTGAAGCCCTTCTGCCTCACAAGAGAGGAGGAGGATGTGGGAACCAACTCTGGATGGGCTCCACACGCCATGCTGAGTCCTTTACATTTGATCTCAAAATTGAAGGGAAGACCAAATTTAAAAACAAAACAAAACAACACAACAAAACCATGAAGTGGGAACAGAAGCCAAAAACCTGGAAGACCCAGAAGGCTAAACTGAAAAAAACTCCAGTTCCAAAATGTTATAACATGAAGACTCGGATGCTGCTGCCCACTTAAAGATGAAAATGACAAAGTGACACCTTTTGCTTGCTCAGTTTAAAAGACTCAATCTGTCCCATCCCTGGAAAGACTTGATTTGAACCTGAAGATTACAGATGAATAAAGTGTCAAAGCTGATCTGCGTGTTGCTAAGCGATGCTGTACGCAGGTGCTCCTTAAGAAAAAGCAGCACTTCACGCAAGTACCTTTTTTATTGACAATGGAAACCACGCTAGCTTTTATTGTGATGTCTGTTACTCCTTAAAAGCCTCACCTTAAACAGAAGAAGTAAAACATGTGTTTTTAAGTATTCAGCATTTAAAAATCAAATCCAATGAAGCTAACCTAACAATTCAAAGGAAACCTTCCAGTAAAGTAGTGCATTTTCTAAAAGAGAGTGACTTTATTGACCCTCTGCCAAAAAAAGATCACATGCTTTGAAGTGACAGGATGAAATGTGGCTTGATTTGAACAGAGGCCAGTGTTGGAGTGACTGTTTTTGGCCACGTTCCGGCCCTGGGTTAGTCAGGTGTGGACTAGCCAAGCCTGGGACATTAAAAAAACTAAATAACTTGGCTTCATTACAGGCCAAATTATAATTAATTCTGATATAAAGCTTTCATGAGTCTTTAAAAATATATACATGCTTTTAAAATTCCTCTAAGGAAAGGCGTCGGTTGCGTTGTTACAGACATTTCTGGTCTTGCATTCAGCACACAGTAGGAGCCGCTGTGCGGCTGCTTCTGTTTCTGCTGACCCTTCCCCCTTATTTCCTTGACTGCACCCTAATCCCATCTCCACACCATCTTAACTCTTCATCACTTCTTCCATACTGGACACCTGTTTTCCCAGTACGACCCACCCTGACCCCAGTGTCCATCCAAAACCACCACTGGTCTTTTCACATAGAAACTCAGCTGACTTTCTAGCTCGACCCAGGCCTATTCTAGCTGGGACTTGAGCCCCAGTCAGTCCAGTGTGCCTGCTACCACCACCACCCTAAGGCTATTATGGGAACAGAGGTAGCTCCTGGTTTAAAAGATTGGGCTAATAAAACAGTCTACCTTGATGTCCAAGGAGGACAGACTAGAAAGTATACCCACGATTCAAGAGGTAGGAAGGAGACAGGAGTTCTACTCCTACTTTGGGACAAATGGAAGATCTCACAGGAAGATGTTTAGAAAGAATTTATGAGGGTGTAGGGGAGGGCTCTTGGTTCTGAAACAAATAAGAAGAGACAAAAATGACTTAGGGAATCCCCAAAAAGATTCAACTAGATAATTCTCGTTTAGGAATGCAATCCCACAATTAGAAGCTAGATCATTGGTATCACATCAAAATACAAACTTTGCAACTAAACCTAATGCTTTATGGCTTATATATTTTTTCAACTCTAACCCTTTTCACACAGACACAGAACGAACAAAAACCATTCAATCTTCTATCTATAGTAATTGACATGAGTATTTCAAGATAAATTTCTGATGCCACCATTGCCAAAAATTCTTATATATACCTTCGTTTTACTTAAACCCATGTTAGAATCATACTTTTTCTTAGCCAATAAATTCAGTGCCAACTGAGAGTCAATAATGGATTAAATGATGCAACAGTAAACACTGAAGAGCAACACAACTGAGTGTTATGCAAAACTGACTGTCAGATAAATAGTGCAAACTGCAATGTGCTTGCTATTTTAATAAGTAAAACCACAATATTGTTTTTACTGTTGTTTTAAATTCTTCTCTTTATAATATTTCAGGTTTTAATTTCTGTATTTTAGGAAAGACAAGTTCTTAAGTCTTTAAAAAAGATTGCTAAAAAATTTCATCCACATTCCTTGACCTGGTACATGTATCCAAAAAAAAAATACTATAAATAAAAACAGTAGGAATCAATTGTAATTGAAAACTTGAGCTATTATTGTTGGATATTTTTAAGCACTTTTCCATTTTCCTGAATAGGTTTTCTCCATCCTGTTTTTAGTAATTTCCTGAACTAAAGAGCAATGGTTGAACCGTCAGTTTCTGATGTTGCTCAGTCCACTTGTGAAACTGACCAAATGCCAGCAGCACCAAACTGAACGTGGCATAAACTGATATCTACAAGTAAAAATGGGCCACAGACCCCTGTTATACAAGGCGGCTGACGGACAGGCAGCATCACCTCCCCTGGGAACTTGTTAGAAAGGCAGCACCCCAGGTCCCACCCCAGGCCTCCTGAACCAAGATCCCCAAGTGAACGCTACGCATTTTAATATTTGAGAAGCACTGCAGACAACTGAAGGCTTACAACTAAATTACAACGCTGAAAAATATCTGACTTACTGGAAGTTGATGAAAATACCTATGATAATAAAGCAGAATGGGGGAATTTTGGGTTTATGGATTTGGGAATAAAAAAAGAGTTCAAACACAATGCCATTTCCTTAAATATAACTTGCTTCAAAATAGAAGCACTGCTTTGCAAAGACAGAACTTCCTGCACAGTCCAGGTTTAAGCTTTACCGAAGTTTTCTCTGTCTCAGCAGAAACAACAACAGCATCACATCAGTCCCCATAAGAAAAAGATCTCTCTCTGTGAGTGAAAGTCCCCATGGGAACTTACTGCCTGTGTCTCAAGGACCCTCCTCTAAAGGATCGTGATCGAGAGGGCAGCACAGTAAGTACCACACAGCGAACAGTCAATACAACAAACCAAACACATTTTATAATTTGCTTGATTTGCTTAAAAGCAGCCTGATCTCATCTTTGTAATCCTATAGGTCTGTCTAAGAAGGATGAGTTTAGACTTGGCTCAGTAATAAAAGAGTTACGTCTGTGCAGCATTTTAAGAACTCTGAGGATATTTGGTAGAAGGCTTATTTTGGGTGCAGAATAGTATTTTTAGCTTATGAATATCAGCTTTAAGTAGAGAAAACAACTTGATGGTTGTTTTGCAAACAGCTTTATTTATATCCTGCAAAAAAGTTTAAATATAAAATTTCAAACTGTAACAAAAGAGCGATCTCGATTTGCCAATACATAAATCCATCAGCTCACAAGGATGCTAATAAACATCTCTCATACTGCTGGTGACATAAGAGGAAGGCTTCTTCAAGACAAAGAAATCAACACCTGGACATATGCTGCTGTTTAAGGACTAGCAGGATGTGACAAACCAGCTTTCCTAAAGTCACAGATTAAGAATTGACATTACCTCAAAAGCACTGATTGGATTTTTCACCTCTGAAAGAATACAATCCCTCTAACTTGTTCAGTCATTTTCAACAGATGAAAAGCTATCAGAAAACTTTTTAATCCTCTTACTTCTTTCCTAATGAACGTGTTACTTATTCATGCTTCTGCGTCATCACTGACATCACTCCCTTCATTTCTCATATCATTAGTCAGACTTCAAAGCTCTTCATCTCTCATATCATTAGTCAGTTTTCAGAGCCTGAGATTTATTTGCCTGACATGTCCCTGGTGCCCATCTCTAGCTCTTCAGTCTCACTTCTAGCCCCTCTGACAAGTCCCCATCCCCTCAGACATTAGTAGGCTCCTTTTTAGCTTCTCTGCCGCGAGACTCCTTCCACCTGATTGATCTTACACATTGCTCCAGCCCAGTCTTCTTTAAATAGCATGTCTGCTGCAGGACTCTCCCGTATCAGATACTCCAAAGTCGAAATGTGCTGGATGAGAGAAGTTCAGGACACACAT